GGGACCTCAGAGCATCACAGCCATCCTATAACTGGGGCTCCACATCTAGCCCTAGAAGGCAGCACATCTGGAGGTCTAGAGTTCCACAGTGACAAACAGCTGGGTCCTCAGTAAGTTTTTAATGGGGATACTGGCTCTGCTGCGACACAGCCCCTGTGTTTCACCCCCAGGAAGGATCCTTGTGCACTGTGCTGTCGGGGTGAGCAGGTCGGCCACCTTGGTCCTCGCCTACCTCATGATCCGCCACCACATGCCCCTTGTAGAAGCCATAAAGACGGTCAAGGACCACCGTGGTATCATCCCCAACCGGGGTTTCTTGCGCCAGTTGGTCGCCCTGGACAATGCCCTGAGGCTGAAGAGGAGTGCGTGAAGAGGGGTTGTGTGCGATGAAGAGCATTGTGTGTGTGATGCTCACCCGATCCCACTGCCCGCTGAGAGGCAGAGATAGGGCTTTCCTCGCGGTGCAGATGCTTGGCAGCTAATGGGTTACATGCAACTGACCCCTGGGCCTCCTTCTCAGTTAAGAGGGTCCCCAAACATCTGAGCTATTCCTAGTGGTAATGCCTAGGCCCTCAACCTGCAATCTTGCCACCCAGGTAGGTCTAAAGTATAGCATCCTTCCCAACCTGCTCGCTCCAAGATGCCTCCAGAGGGACTCAGCCCCACGTTACAGGTTACTCTATCCCTGTGGGCTCCAGGAAGCTTTTAAGGCTTCATTCTCCCATGTGGCAGATGCATTTGCCAAGGCAGTCCTGTCCCTCCCTCCCAGGAGACCGAAGCTCTGTGTGTTCCTTGTCTTGTCTCCCATTTGTTTTTGGTCTGCGTAGCAATGTGAAGTAAATCTGGCGTGTGGGCTCAGGCAAGCAGGCCTTGTGTCGCAGTGTTTGGATGTCCTCCATGCCTTGTGTTAACCTGTACAAATAAAGACAGCGCTAAGGAAAAAGTCTGCCCATCCCTTGTGTGCTTTGGGAGAGCCTTTATGGGTTTAGGCTGGGGTTTGGCAACGGAGTTGGTGGGAGAGCATCACCAAGTGCTCAAGGCTGAGATGAACTTGAGTCCTCCTGGATCGAGGGGTGAACCCATCAGACCCCAGTGCCTGTGCTGGGCCTCCCCACTCCTTTTTCTCCATCAGTGGTGGGCTCCCGGTGGAAAGCAGAGCCGGGCTCTGGCCATCACCGGGGGCACCATCCATCACGAGGTGGCGATGTTGGTCTCCCAAAGGCAGGCACCAGGCTCGCAGAAGGGCTGGCTGTCCCCTGGGACCTGTGACAGCACCTTCGCCGCTTGCAGATGGGATGGATGGAGCCCCAGGAGGGTAAGCAGGGCCAGGAGTGAGTGCTTGTGATGGCACCGGTCCCACGGGTACCAAGCTGTCCCCGCACACGCTCATTGTCCACCCGCTCTTATTATAGCCCCATTCTTCCTCCACTTCCTGAGTGGAAACTCCGCTTGGCCAATGTGTTCTGCTGAGATCACATAAACACGGAGGAAGAGGGGCCCGATGGCCACGCAGACTGAGCCCCTCTGCTTGGAGCACTGGATAAGCTCCTGGGATGGGGACTTATAAGGTGCCCCAGCGTGCTCAGAGCACAGCATCACCCGGATCAGATCAGTTGCTGGCAGCAGGGCTGAGGTTACCCTGAGTTACCCTGAGCAAGGGCTGCAGACACTGAGCAAGGAGGAACTTGTATTGAGCAACACAACACATAGGGGCTGGTCACACCTGTGCCAGCACGGGGCACTGCTGGGACTGTTGGACACGCCAGAAGCTTCGGCAGGGGATGATTGCAGCTTGACAAGGCCTGGGGCTGTGAAATGCCTCCTGTTGTGGTTTTACAGCTTTGCTTTGTGCTCCTTGCTGCCGCAGAGCTCCCTTTGTGCAGCTTGCTGCAAACGGGGCTCTGAATGCGGAGCGGGGCTGTTGTTGGACAAAGCTGGGATCAGGGAGGCTCTGAGCATGAGGGGAGGTCGTGTATGGAGGATCAGCAAACTCATCTAGAGAGCACAACCACCGCCGGAGCCCGCGGCGTGCTGCACCTTGCTGTGTGCCTGCGGTGCCCAGGGACACCGCAGTGCAGCGGGGGAAAGCACCCCGATTTGGGGAGGACAATCAGCAGGGACCATCCTCAGAGCTGTTGGAGGAGGAGGAGGACACAGCCCCTGCGATGCTGCTGTCCCTGACACAGGGCTCATGGGGCCATTTCACGGCCCCTCGTGGTCCCCCATCACCCGCAGGGCGCACAGTCCGGATGAAGATGCTGAGCGTGTCCAAAGCCATCTCCTGCGCAAGACACCAGGAGCTCAAGCACACGCTGAAGCCGGGTCATGGCGAGCTTCTCCTCAACACCCCCAACTCCTCCTCCTCCTCCTCAGGGCTGCTCCATCCAGCCTGGGATCACCCCGTGTCTCCCATCACTCCCATCTCCAACCGCCCGGCGCTCGCCGCTGCTCCTTCGGCTGGGGCGGCCCCGGGGGCGGCCCCGGGGGCTCGGGGCGGGGTTTGGGGCCGCTCCCGTTCCCATTCCCAGTCCCGTTCCCGGCTATGGCCATGGCCCCGCGCCGCGCACGGCGGAGCGGCTCCCGGCTGCAACGGTGAGAGCGGGGCCGCGGAGGGGCGGGAGGGGTTTGGGGTACGATGGGGACCCGCTCCCCGCCCTCCTGCTGCGGGGCGATGGGGGGGAATATCCCCCTTTTCCCCCTCCCTGCCCTTCCTCGGAGCCCCAGTTCCATGCAGGAACGCACCAGGGAGCGCTTCTGCTTCCAGAGCAGCGGCTCCTGCCCCGTTCCTAGGAATGAGGCCAATTCCTGAATGAATTTGCCTTGCTGCAACCAACAAAACCTCTTCCATGTGTCCGCAGATGGGGAATAAACTTGTTGTAACGGACCCCAGGCGAGGCCCCAGCTCTGGTGTTGGCTGTAAGGAATTCTCAGGAACGTGGAACTGAGTTTGCACATGTGAGGGGGGTTCGGTTGGAAGGAGAAGCGGTTGATTTTTATGGCTAAGGAGTGGGGAAGCTGCGCTGGGAATTCCAGCATCAAAGCCCTGCCCCAGCAGCAAAGGCTGGGTGATTTTAATTTGTGAAAGGGTTACAGCCTTTGAAGCTAAATATAACGCAAGCAGTGGCTTCCTCTCCTGTAACGCATCCCTTGTGGGTTCTTGGGCAGCTTGGGGGATGAGAAGCCACCGGTGCTGCAGGCAATGAGTTCTGGACATAGGATAACGATAACGGAATGGTTTGGGTTGAAAGGGACCTTAAAGATCATCGCATTGCAACTCCCTGCCCTGGATATGTGGTAAATGGGGGGGTTCTGTTGAGCAGGGTGTGAGTGAACACTCTCCAGCTGAAGATGTAACTTGGTTGTGTTAAAGGAACGTCCTAAATAAAAGAGACTCGGCTTTTAGAGGCTCTGAGCAGCAACAGCTTTCGCTGGCTTCCCAAGGCAGGGGCTTTGGGGAGCACCAAGAACAGAGCCCACCCTTGTTCAAAGGCTGGGATATGGGTTTGGGAGCCTGACCATGGGCATCTGACTTGTACCTCTTGGCTTTCAGCCCTGAGCTCACAAATGCTGAGGTCAGCAAAGTCCAGCAAAACGGTGTCTGGGGTGCTGCAGAACTAGTGGGAATAAGTCTGAAAGCCAGGTTAGAAGTCTCATTTTCCACCTAAATAGGTGTATTCAGAGTTATCTGAACAGACAGCATGTGCCATGTGGCCTGGGCATGTCAGCTCCTCTTCTGCATCATGAGTTCTCCTCCTGTTGCTACAAGAAACCTGGAGAGGGGCTTCGGACAAAGGCCTGTAGGGACAGGCCAAGGGGAATGGCTTTAAGCTGCCAGAGGGGAGACTGAGATGAGCTCTTAGGCAGAAGCTCTTCCCTGTGAGGGTGCTGAGGTGCTGGCACAGGGTGCCCAGAGAAGCTGTGGCTGCCCCATCCCTGGCAGTGTTCAAGGCCAGGTTGGACACAGGGGCTTGGAGCAAGCTGCTCTAGGGGAAGGGGTCCCTGGCTGTGGCAGGGGTTGGAGCTGGATGAGCTTTAAGGTCCTTTCCAACCCAAACCAGTCTGGGATGCTGTGATTCTGTGATCACAGCAGAAACGGTTTGGGAGCTGTGCTCAGTTTTTCTGATGCAAAGCCCACAGCTTTTGTGTGGGAGGGGAAAGAATGGTTTGATTTAATGACCTGCTGAGTTTTCCATTTGTTTCACTGAACAAGGATCGGGGCGAGGGAGAAGCTCAGCTCAGCAAAACCTCAGTGCCTGCACACATTGGGTGGAAACTTGTGTCTGTCCTCATGTAAAACACAGAACTGCTGTATCCAGAGGACCAAACCGTGCAGCATCACTGGAGCATGAGGGTGCCATTAATGGGGTTATGATGGTCAGGGGTTTGGGGAGCAGGGCTGGGGTTCCCCCCATCAACCAGCTCAACCAGCAGCACTGTGTGTCCTCACCACAGCTTGCAGCAGGGCATTTAGGGCAGCTCAGCACTTCAATCTGGCTGTGTGGGCTGGAGGAGGAGAGGTGCAACCGACAGCCCCAACAGGTCAAACTGCATCTTTGCTGCTCCTGCTTAGGAAGGGGAGGGTTTGCAGCTCACATGAAGAACACGGTAAAATGAACCATCTTCTTGTAGTGAGAAGAGTGCGCAAAGTCAGCACTGGTCTGTAGGTGCTTTCATAGATGCCTATGATCCCTGTTGTCTCATTTTCCTACTAAATAATTGCTCCAGCCTGCTGTCTTACAGTGTCAGGTACAAAACTAGCAGAGTTAAGCTATTAACTAGACTTAAGACTACTTAAACTAACCCAAGTTAAGAAATGGGTTGTTCCGGTTTGGGTCTGGCGCCCATCAGGTCTTCATTTCGTGTTGGTTAAAGCCAGATTGGATCCATTCCCCTTGAACTAAAAATACCAACGCCTCTGTCAGGCAAAGGGCTTTGTGCTAATGGAAACCATGGCTCAGCTGTGTCGGGGAGCCCTCATGGGGAGAAGCAAGAGGGGAAGGGGCTGGGAGGACCTGGCTTTTGGGAAGGCTCCATTGCCTCGCTGGGACCCGCTGCTCCAGGGCTTGTCCTTCCCATCCCGGCTGAGCCGATGGCTGCTCCTCCACCAGGACAGGGCATTGCCATGGAATTCTTCGGCACCACAGCCTGGAGCTCATGAGTTCTGCTGAGCAGGAATGACCCTTGCTAAGCTGGTGAGTCTAAACTTAGCCTTGCCAGCTGTGTTGCGGCTGGCAGGGACGTGTTAGACCGGCTCCTCTGCTTCCTTCGGCACCAGAGTTACAGCATCTCGTGTTCCACCTCGGTTTTCTGCTCTCTCAGCACCCATGGGGCTTTTACACACAGCCCTTGCCACCCATAGGGAATTCGGGCATCCAACCCGGAGCAGTGCTCGGTAAGCGGCTTATGGGGTTGGGAGTTTTCTGCCCCATGGGATGGGGAAGAGCCTGTGTTGAGGGGCGAAGTCTGGGTGTGATGTTCAGGAGTTTGGATGCTGGGGGTTGAGCCCCTTAAGACGAGCACAAAGCACAGAGGGATGTGCTGGGAGGGGGGGGTTAGCATGGGATTGATAGGGTTTGGCTCCCATGGGGCTCTCCTGATGCTCCAAGGGCTGAGAACATTGGGGTTGTTCAGCCTGGGGAAGAGAAGGCTCCTTAGGGGGAGACCATAGAGCAGCTCCAGTGCCTAAAGGGGCTGCAGGAAAGCTGGAGACGGGCTTTGGACAAGGGCCTGTAGGGACAGGCCAAGGGGAATGGCTTTAACCTACCAGAGGGGAGACTGAGATGAGCTCTTAGGCAGAAGCTCTTCCCTGTGAGGGTGCTGAGGCGCTGGCACAGGGTGCCCAGGGAAGCTGTGGCTGCCCCATCCCTGGCAGTGCTCAAGGCCAGGTTGGACACAGGGGCTTGGAGCAAGCTGCTCCAGTGGAAGTTGTCCCTGGCCGTGGCAGGGGTTGCAGCTGGATGAGCTTTAAGGTCCCTTCAACCCAAACCAATCTGGGATCCTGATTCCCAGCCCATTGAGTACTTCTCCTGGAAACCCTCTGGGATGCCCATCCCAGCCTTCCCCTGCTCTCTGTGGTGCTGATTCTCCCACTGTTCTCATGAGGCTTCCTCTGTCCATCCACAGCTGCTCTGCAGCCTGTGTCCCACCACCAGCATTACCTTATTTAGCTGCTCAGTGCTGCTTTCAGAGCTGAACACTTCTTTTTTTTTCAGAGCATTTCTCCATCATTTCCAGCAAGGAAATGAAAAAAAAAACAAAACCCACCAATTTTCCCATTGTCTTTTCCTGCACCTGGAGGTCTCAGGAGCAGAAGGACTTGACAAACAAATCCTCCCTTTCTTGCCCTGTAGATGAATTGTCTCCCGGAGCCTTTGGCCATTGCATCAATGGAACTTGTGAATTCGAAGTAGACACCTGGGAATAGCAGGGAATGAAAGTGTCCCGGGGCAGGATCTCACCCCATTGCTGCTGCCTGCCTGCCCTGCTCGGGCTCCCCTTGCTATCCAGGTGTTCCAGGCAATGGAGCCCACAGTGCAGGGAGAAAACCAGGCAGACCAAGCCTGGGATCTCAGTGCTTGTGCAGAGGTTTCTGCCGCCTGCTCTCTTCCTGTCTCCATGGGACAGAGCGAATTCCAGCCTCATGGGAAGCAGGCGGCCCGTAATTAAAGCCACAAGTGTTCCTGGAGGAGCTGCTTGATGGGATGGCGCCGAGCGGAAGGGGCAGGGGGAGATGCTCCGTGGAGCACAGATGGGGCCGGGGGCTGCTCGCCTTTAAAGTCCTGTCTGAGAAGGATCTGATGGGAAATCAAAGCTCCGGCTCTTGTGGGGTCAGCGTGGTTTTGGGGCATAAAAGGGCTGACTTTGCACCAGCTCCTGGCAGTGCCAAGGGTTGAGGGTCCCTGTGCCTTTCCCCTCTGGGGTGACCGCATTATCATTGCTGGGTGATGCTGAGCTGCTCTAAGGGGCTGCTGCTCCTCCTGAGGACATCAACTCACAGCCCTCAAGACTGTGCTGGTGTTGGTTGCTGCCCACTTTGCAAGCTCCAGAGGGGATGGAGCCAGCCCAGGCTTGCTCTGTTCTCATAGCAGCTCCTTTTCACTTCTTTTCCCCCTTCCTCCATCCTAAACTCTGACTCTTCCCCCCAAAGGGTGCTCCTGCAGTCTGGGGCTGATTTCTCCCAGTAAACCCTGCACGATGCCTCCCATCACATTCCAGGACCTCCCACTGAACATCTACATGGTCATTTTCGGCACTGGCATCTTTGTCTTCGTGCTCAGCCTCATCTTCTGCTGCTACTTCATCAGGTGAGCCAGGGCCTGAAGCAGCAGGGCTGCATCCCTGTGCTACCCCCAGCCCTTTCCCATATCCCCTCCATAACTCGCCATAAGGATGTGCCCTGAAGAGCAGGGCTGTGCTCGTGGTCCCTGGTGTTCCCTATGGCTGGAGCATGGCAGGAAACGCAGGAAGGGGAGCACACGGAGGGATGCATTGTGTCGGGCAGGGAAGGAGCAGGGCTGCACAAGGGAGGATGTGTCTGTACATTACAGGGAGGGCTATTTATAAACCCAGAGCCGAGGCAGCAGCTGGTGTTTCTGCAGGGCTCGGGTGGCTCAGTCATTCCCTATGGGATGCTCATGCTCTGCTGATGCCCTGTGCATCTCTCGGCCATTTTGGGGGATCGTGGAAGCACATCTCAGTGCCTCATTTGGAAGAGAAGCACTATTGCAAGCAGTCTCCTTGTGCCCACATCTTGCTCCATTTCTCTGCAGGGTGATTTTCCCCTGGCCAAGGTCACAGTGGGTCTGGGAGCTGGAAATACAGCACTGGAAATACAGCGCTTCCTGCACCATGAACGACTTCCTAAGGCAAACAATCAGGGCTCTTATCGCTCCCCACTGCCCATTCCTGCCTCCTCTGGAGGTGGCACAAGCCACCTGGGACATGACCATGGGCTGCTCCAATGGCACAAACACAGCCTCAGAGCTGCTTATCCCCAACTCCCGGTTGGGAAGGGTGCGCTCCCCTGATTTCGGGTGCCTCCGGTGTGGTTTTGGCTGCGCTGTTGTCATGTTTTAAACCCAACTGATGCGACCCTTGGGGATGCTGTAAAGCTCACAGCGTCTTTTTCTCCCCCTCTGCAGCAAACTGCGGCACCAGGCGCAGAGTGAGCGGTTCGGGTACAAGGAGGTAAAGAGGCTGGTTGTTTCTATACAGGAAATATGTATACTGCACATACCCGCAGTGATCTGGGGCGGGATGGGTGGTGGATGCAGGCAGGTGGGGATGCAGCAGGGGCTGATGCTGCTCATCGCAGCTGGGTGCATTCAAAAACGGTGTGATGGGACATGCTGTGGCCCGGGCAAAATCCCTTTGGATATTAAATCCTCTGCCTCCTTTCCTTCCTCAGGTGGTTTTGAAAGGTGATGCCCGGAGGTTGAATGTGCACGGGGTGAGTGGTTCCGCCTCTGGAATGGGATGGAGTTGGGGGTAATGGGGATGATGCTCTGGGGCACATCCCGTCTGCTCCATGGGCTCAAAGGCAACTCACAAGCAAAGCGAGATGAGGATGGCTGGGAACGGGGAGGGAAACCCCCTCCCTGGGGGTATTTTGGGAGCTGGAAATACCCGGGAATAGCGGGATTTCCCCAGCCACAGCATTACGGATAGGAGCAGGGCCGTGTGTTCGCACCCACCCTCACCCTTGTCTCGCCTCCCACAGCAGACCTGCGCCGTCTGCCTGGAAGACTTTAAGGTGAAGGAGGAGCTGGGGGTGCTGCCGTGCCAGCACGCCTTCCACAGGAGGTGAGCACAGCGACGCGGGGATGCGGGGCTTTCCCTGCCGCTGGAATCCCATCCCTCTGCGTTCCTGCCCCGCAGGTGCCTGGTGAAGTGGCTGGAGGTCCGCTGCGTCTGCCCCATGTGCAACAAGCCCATGGCAGGTCCCGCACAGCCCCGCGCCGGCATCGGCACCCTCCTGGATGAGCTGGTGTGAGCCGCTCCGCTCCCTGCCATCCGCATCCCTGCTGGACCGCGGGGTTGCATCACCCACAGGCGGCATCGCCCAGTTCAGGTCCCGAAGGATTCGGGAGCTGGGAATTGCAACCCGCAGGGCGCTGGTTTGGTTTGGGGGGGGGGGGGGGGGGGGTGTACGGACACCCCCCGTTTGCTGCATAGAGTATTTTTGTACCTGATCCCGATAGGGTCCCAATGGGGGGTGGGGGGAACACATTTTGGTGTGAAAAGAGATTAAATGGGTGATTTCTCAGTTTCTGAGCGCTCGAGTGAAAGCGAATTTGCTCAAAGTCGACTAAAATGGACCCAAAACCGACCGACGTTGTTCGGAACCCACCCGCATTTCGGGACTTTTAAGTGCTTAAAAACGTAATGACGCCATCAGTGACGTCGCTGACCCCCCCGGGAGCTCAGATGGGAACTGTGCCACGTCGTAACGCCAGGGCGCACACGTCACGCAGCCGCGTGCCGATCCCATTCATCATTTGCTATGAACCGGAAGGATCGGGAACCGCGCCGACGCGCTCAGCCCCACCGCAGAGCCTCTCACTCCTAGGTGAGGGCGAGGGAAGAGTCCCAAAATATGTTCCCCTGTTTATAAATGGATCTCCCTTCTCACCACTATTTCCACCCTCATCATCCTCCTTTCACCCTTTATCCCCGCTGCGCCTCCTCACTTTTAACCGCTTATCTACGATTCATAATCTATGCTAATTTATACACACGTCGCCACGCCTCCATCCGCACCACCTTTACGGCAAAGAGTCGGAGTTTGCGACAGTGGCTGGAGCCGGCTCTCCAGAGGGGCTCGGCGGCGGCTGGGGGGGTCTCTGTGCCGGTGCCCGGTGCTTAAAGGGGCCTTTAAAAGCTCACCCTGGGGTGCGGGAAGCGTCTCTGAGGTGCCGGAAGCGGCCTTGGGGTGCGGGTCACGCTATGGAGCTCAGCGGCCTAGTGCAAGCGCTGAGGCAGGACGGGCCGCAGCCGCCCCCCGCTGTTCCCCCGGCCGAGCAGGTCCTGCTCCAGCTCGGGCAGCTCCTGTCCGGCGGTGCCCCCAAAGCCGGCGCGGTCCGAGACCTGCGTGCGCTTATGGAGGCTGCCGACTGCCGGTGGCTCTTCGGGGACCTGCGCCCCGCCACGCTGGGTGAGTTGGTGCTGGCGTTGAGCCGGTACGGAGCGCCCCCGGAGCAGGAGCAAGAGGCTGCGGATGTGCCCTGGAAGGACGGTGCGTGCGCGGCTGCAGCTGAGAGAGCAGCGGATGTCGGGGCAGTGCTCCTGCACCTCCTGGTGAAGCTGGAAGCGGCCAAGGCGCAGGAATCTCTGGGTGCCCCCGTGGTGGGCCCCATCCTGCGCTGTGTGATGGGGCCTGTCTACATCTTCGCAGCAACGCATATCGTGGAGAGGCCCTGGACAAACGGGAGGTCTCGGTCGGTGGCACGGGAGCTGCTGGAGTCGCTGGTGCAGGCCGCAGGGTGTGGGTCTGTGGCTGAATTCCTTCGGGGGAAGAGCGAAGATGAGGAGGGAAGGTTTGCGGCGGTGATGGGGCTCTTGAAACAGGAGTTAACCAAGTGAGTAGGAAGGGGAGGGCTGTGATGGGGGGCAAAGGCATGTTTGCCTGGTCTCTGTAGGAAATACTGGAAGCTTTTGGGAATCTCTATGGCTGAGGTATTACAAGACACCGGATGAAGAATATGGGGCTAGAGCTTTACAAACACCTAGTGATTGAAAGCGGGGGGGGAATCAGAGCTTACTGTCAGCCAAGAGGCCTAAATGTGTAAGCAGGGTGCATTCATTAACCCCAGCATTTGCTGAGCTGAAGTTTGTATTCCCAGAGACACCTGGAAGCGGAACCCTGCCACGAAGCACGTGTTCTCCTGGACTCTGCCTCATGTCACCCGGCCCTGGCTCAGCCATTACCTGGAGCGGGTCCTCCCGCCAGCACTGCTCATCTCAGACGACTACCGGGAGGACAACAAACTCCTGGGTGTGCGCTGCCTGCATCACATCGTTCTGAACGTGGTAAGGGGGCAGTGTTCCTAAGGCACAGCATGTGCAAGGCTTAACTGGGTGCTGAATGTGATGCACAGGAATAACCTTTTGTTCTCTGTTGTTGCAGCCAGGTGCTGATCTGTGCCAGTTCAACAGGGCTCAGGTTGTGTACCATGCCCTTTACAACCACCTTTATTCACGAGAGGCCACTCTCATCCAGGTAGGGCAGCAGAACTTTGTTGTAATCTGCCTTGTAGTACTGTGCATCAGCCCCATGAGGGTCAGCCAGCTTAAGGCATGAGGAGGCAGAATCTGTTTGCTTGCAGACAGTCCAGTCAGGCTGTTAATAGCTGATACCTGTGGCTAAGAGACAAAGTAACTCAGTAGCTCTCAGGGAAATACCAAAGTAGAGGGAATACCTCTTGCCTCCTGTCCACTTCCAAGTGGCAGCCTTGCTGAATAAGGCTGGGAATGGGTAGAAGAAGTAGTTGTGTCTTGTCAGGTGAACTGCAGGAGCTGTGGGTGGTCAGTGGGGTTGGGGCTTCCTGGTGTTTTGGAAGGGACATCAGCAGGATTGCCCACGTTTACTGTCTCTCACTGGTTTAGGCAGTGCTGCTGTGCCTGCTGGACTTGCTGCCAGTCCTGGAGAGAGCCCAGCGGCAGCAGAAGCAGGGCAGACCAACCGCTCACTGCGATGAGGTGCTGCAGCTGGTTCTGACCCACATGGAGGCAGAGCATCGCCTTGCGCTGCGGCGGGTCTACGCCAGGGCCCTGCCTGCCTTTGTGCAGAGGTGAGAGCAGCCCCACAGCCCTGCAGGGCCCTGCTTTGCCCTTGGTATTCATCTCCCTGCTCAGTGTGTTCTTATTCATGTTGGCAGCCTTGGCATCCAGACAGCACGGCACCTGAAGAGGCTGGAGCGAGTTATCCTGGGGTATCTGGAAGTCTCTGATGGCCCTGAGGAAGAAGCCCGACTGGGAATACTGGAGACACTGCAGTGCACCATAGAGCACGCTTGGCCCAGGTACCTGTCTAGGCGTGAAAGACACTACAGAGGATACGTCCTGAATGCTGTCACCCTTTCAGAGCCAAAGTTTCTGTTGCTTGAGGAAAAGGCCCTGATACCTGAAGGGAGAATCTGTCACAGGGAGAAATCACTGGCATGACCTCACTGAAAAACTAAGCTGGGTCCTCTTTTTGATCTGTTTTCTGCCTGTTCTAAAAGCATCAACTTGGCTGAAAACTAAATCTGTGTATGGCAGCTATGGCAGAGTAAGGCCTGTGCTGTGAATTGGGCTGCCCCTTGATACTCCATCCCAGGGCTACCTTTTGTGTTCAGGGCCTGTGTCTGTCCTCCCTCTGGTGGGCACATTGAGCGAAGCAGCTTCTTCAACCTCACTGCTGAAGCAGTTGTCCTGCAGTTCCTTCTCCACACGTAAAGGCAGCTAGCAGTTCCTGCCTGAGGTACCCAGGAACTGCCAGGGCAAGGCAATGCTTTCCCCTGGCTTGGAAAGAGGATTTGGAATAAGGTGGAATTGCTGTTTCCCTTTGCAGAATGCCATGCAGACTCCCTGTGCTCCTGAAAGCCCTGCTGAAGATGCTCTGGGATGTGCACACTGACCAGGGTTCAACACCAGAGCCAGTAAAAGCTGCCTTGCTCCAAGGGGCCACTGAGTGCCTCATCCTGCTGGATCGCTCTTCTGAAGGGCAAGTGAAGGTGAGCTGGGGACCCAGGACTGCTTCATCTCTGATACCTTACAAGGGGCAGCACCATGCAAGAGTTCCCACCTCCTTGCTCAGCCCAACAGTGTAGTGAAAGCATCAATTTCCACCCACCGCAACTAACGCTTGTCTTGATTGATAAGTGAATTGATCTGTATATGCTCTGCATAACTCACTGCCAACAGATAGCTGGGACAGGGTTGATAACAGCATAAACCTGAGTGTACCACAGCACTAGGAACTGATGCTGCTCTCGTTTCAGGACCTGCTGGAAGGTGTGTACAGCAGCTGTGAGGAGAACCGCGTGCGGGAATGCATCAGAAAAGTGCGAGAGAACACGCGAGGTGTAATCAGTGCTCACCCCCTTTTTGGACAGTAAACTCTTTATTTATTTCAAGTTGCTGTCTTGCTCCTCCCACCCCTGTCAGCCCCATAACCTCTCCCAAAGAAGGCACACTTGTGTGCTCACCTACCTACAGCTTTAGAACAAGGCAGCAGTGCCCCCAGCCCAGGTTCCTTCCTGGAGCGCACAGTTCAAGCTGAGCCTTGTCTAGTTGCAGAGAAGGTCAAATCTTCTTTCTTAAAACTGCTTCATGTAAGCACAAACTGGCTGCAACTGCCTGAGGTCAGGTCCGAAACCCTTCTTTTCATAAAGAAAAGTATTAGTCTGGAGTATAAGGAGCAATTATGAAGGGTCCTGCAGAGTGGCAAAAGCTGGAAGGAGTTCTGGTGGCAGATGAAGGGGTCCTGTCATTCAGTACAAAGTGCAGGTTGAAGGAGTCAGGCTGCTTTTGTTTTGCTGGCTGGCTCTGTTTCTTTTTCATACTCTATTTCAATGTAGGGACGTTTTCTTCTGGCTGGTCCTTTCAGGGGAGTTTTCCCTTTAGATTTGGAGTGAGAGCCTTTCTTCTCTACTTCTTGCTCCACTTCCTGCTCCTCTTCACTACTTGTCTCTAACTTATCCATGTCCTGAGAAAGCAAGATGAGTGACATCAAAGCATGCTGTGTAACTAAACCTCCTTTCTGCACAATTGGGTATCCAATTCCATTTTCTAATCCTGGCTCCCAGCTGTCTCGCCAGAGGAGCTGGGATGTAGTGGATCCAGCACACTCTGATTGTATCATTATGTTCCACAAATCTGATTATCCCATCACCAGAGACACCAAGAGGGAGGAGGTTCATTTCAAACAGCTTAGCCCTGACACTTTATAGCTGGTGCTTCACTTACCTCAAAGTCACTGAGGTCACTGTCATCTCCTTCCACAAACTCTCTTTTATCCATGTCCTGCAAGACACAAAGTCCGAAGCTAATGCCTCCATGCTGAGCACAGTGCAGCGTCGTGACTAGCAACAGAAGAGCCGTCAAGGCCACCACTTGTACACACGCTTTTCTTAGTTCACCTCTCTTAATTTCTTCCTTTCACCCCAACATTCACACTCCAGTGCCCGGCTTGTCGGTGAGCTGGTGGTGCTGCACCAGCTCAGGGAAGGACTGGCTGTGGTGCTGTGGCTCAAAGCATTACCTCGTCATCTTCTTCCCTCTCTGCATCGGACTCGCTCTCACTTTCTGCATCTTGCTCCTGCAGAGCTTTGTCAAAGGCATGGATGGGGAAGTTGTAAATGTCTCCATACTGAAAAGGAATATGTGGATTTTCTGTAAGTCACAGGAGGAACTCAGCCATGGGTGGCAGGGTCATCTAAAGGGCCTGTGTCAAACTCGGGTGAGTGTGGGGTTCAGCCCCTTCCCTAGTTCTGAAGGACGTGCTCCTGTACAGAAGATGGGTGGCTCTGGTTTGAGGGGAAGCAAGTCCTCCTGTTACAAAGCCACTTAAGCAGGGCAGCGTACTGTCATCTGCCACCCCTCCCATACAGGTGGCACTTCCCTTCCACACCAAGGACTGTGTTCCTCCCTGCAGGCCAGCAGGCAGTCGGAGCTGCTGATCCTTACCGTATCCTGCTTCAGCCTTTCCAGTAATTCCTTCTCAATGGCATTATCCAGCTGAGCAGCAACCAGGGCTTTCTCCTAATGGAGCAGAGAGGAGCTGTGTCAGTTGTCTGATGTGTGGAACAAAAGCAACAGACACGAGATGATGAAAAAGTGGCTTTACCTCTCTTCTCTTCTCCCGCCTTTCAATCTTCCTGCGTAGAGGAACAAGCTTCCTCCTACAAGGAACATCAAGTGCTAGTTAGTGCATCTGTCCACCTCTTTCGTAGCAGATGAGTAAATGGTCATTAAGGCCAACAACCAGCATTTACATCATTAGAAGTGTGGCTAGGTTAAGTGGACTTGGACTATGCTGCAGTTAAATCCACTTTAGCCAGGTTCCTGTATGAGCATGGCAAAGCCTCAGAAAAGCCAAGTGCAGTGGGGAGAGACAGAGACCCAGGGGACAGGCAGCAGCTCCACAAATCACACCATGATCACTCTTAGTCCTGTCACTTACTGTCGCTTGAGTGTCAGCTTCCTGATGCGGATGAGGTACTGGGTGATCTTAGTGAAGCGCTGCTTGCACTTGTGTCGGATGAACCGCGGCCAGTAGATGAGGTTCTCATCGATCTCCTGCAGTGCTTTCTCATAGTTCTTGTTGAGCAGGACCTGGCATGGGGAAAGAGTTGGGCTATGGAGTGGCAAGGATGTGGGGATGTATCTGGCCCATCGCTCCCTGCCTTCAGCTGCCTCTTGGTACACAACCCACTCCCGTTAACTCACCCTCTCCCATAGGCGACGAGGAAAAGCCGCCCGCTCTATTGTCTTCATGTACAGGTAACACCGACCTGGAGAAGAGAGCAATGTGATGCTGGCAGAGACACAATGCAGCCTGGACAGCAGAAGTGTGCTGGGGGCCCGGGTGCCATGGGGCAGACAGTATTGCCCTCTCACCTTTCTCCTCTCTGATGGTGGCATACTGGCTGTTGGCCAGCGGGCAGGAGGAGCGGTTGCACAGCCCCGTCAGGTTGTACTCATTGCGGCAGAAGTTCTGGGTTTTTGTCCTGCAAAGATGAGAAGGGAGAATAAAGGGGAAGGGTGGGAGCATCCCAGCACCCTCACCTTTGGGAACAGTGGTAAATGCTCCATCCCTGCCAGTGTCAAAGACAAGAGACTTGGGTGACACGGTCTAATGTGAGGCATCCTTGCCCATGGCAGGGGGTTGGAACTGGATGATCTTAAGGTCCTTTCCAACCCAAACCATTCTGTGATGCTATGGCAGAGAGGCACCCAGCTTTGTCCCTCCTGCTCCTCTCCCCCCGAAGCACCCCATGCAGAGCAGAACCCCTTGGCTCAACCTACCCTGTCCCCCAAAAACTCACGTGATCTTGTAGGAGCAGAACTGCCTGTTCCCCAGCATGTCCCAGACAACCTGCGAGCACAAACAGCGGCTGTCACACCCCGACACCACTGACCCAGGGCCTGGCTCCTGCAGCACCCCCGTGAGGCTCTAAGGAGGGGGGCACCCATAATTGTTGGGGTTCTCTGCACCCCATTGAGGAGCAAGAACCGAGGGGAGGGGTGACGTGTGCTGCCCCCTTCCCATTTACACCCTCCCCATAACACGCCCCGGTTGGGGACCGGGGGGGAGCCTCCCCGCCACGTGGTGCTTTGGGGGGGGGGGGGGTTACGTCCCAGCCGGATGCAACCGACTCAGCGGTGAGGCGGGTGCTGATTGGCTGCGGAGCGGGTGGTGGGCGGGGCGGGGACCGGACCGGACCGAATCAACCGGCGGACTCACGTCGTCCGAGTGCATGGTGCCAGTGGTGCCGGTGCTGCCGCGCTCCGCGCCGCCATAGGCGGAAGGGGCGGGGCCAGATGAACTCTCGCGAGAACAAGGCGGAAGGGGCGTGGCCTGGGTGTGATGACGTCATGCGGGCGCAAGGTGGGGGTTATCAGTGGTCCACGGACCTGGGATGCTGTCGGGACAGGTCGCGATAGGAGCTTTGTGTCTGTTCCTGTCGCTCCTGCTGCACTCCCCATTGAAATGAGGGGTTTTCAGCAGGGTGGGTAAAAACGTTTCACTCGCATTAGTGTTGTTTGGATTAATTAATTAATTGGTTTATGATTCATTAATTCAATGAATTCATTCGCCCTAGAGGTGGCGGATGGAGCAGCGAAGAGCTGTGCCTCTGATCCCATGCAGGGCTTAAGGATCCGGTGTTATCCCGGTGCTGGCAGCTGGAGGGCTTCCAGAGCAACTCAGCATGGATGTGGGACGCTACACACTGCAACAGCCATTTGTGCCCTTGGGTAATGAGTCATAAGGTACCAAATGTTGATGGGTTGCTGTTACCCTCCTGTTTCCCTGCTGGCAAATGCATCTGCCTTGTGCTGCTGTTCTTTCTGGCTAGTGGAGTGGCTGTGCGTGACACAAGTGCTCATTCCAGGCTGAAATGAGCTTACAGAACTGGGGGAAGACAAGTTGCGAGGTTGAGGTGTTGCTGGAAAAGGGAACATCATTGGAATTTCTCAGATACAGAATTAGCTTACTAGAACATACTTCTACAGACCATTAAACTCCATTGTTAACAGTGCAGCACTCCATTTCTAAACCTGTGACCAGGAAATTGCAGCAGGGTAATTAAACCTATTGTACTTCTCCTTGCAATGGGTTGGATCCCAAGCACAGCCTATTGCCCCATCTCAGCTGAGAGACAGGGGTTTTAAAACCCCTCTATTAGTCGCTTATAATCACAAGTGATTCAACCAGCTTTGCTGGCTGAGTATGTGTCTGAGAGGCTAAAACTCTTTCCAGCCTCATTTCTACCTGAATTACTTCATATAATTAATTGGATGCATGTTGGAAAGGACACACAAGCAGCTGTAAGTTACACATCAGTAGCACAACATATGAAGCTATAGCGAGATACAATGAGCATTTGTTTAACTGTCTTCAAAGAAGCAAGGAGCACATTAGCAGCACAGTGACATCTTTATTGAGGGGCTTTGGACAAGGGCTTGTAGGGACAGGACAAGGGGAATGGCTTTAACCTACCAGAGGGGAGACTGAGATGAGCTCTTGGTCAGAAGCTCTTCCCTGTGAGGGTGCTGAGGCGCTGGCACAAGGGTGCCCAGAGAAGCTGTGGCTGCCCCATCCCTGGCAGTGCTCAAGGCCAGGTTGGACACAGGGGCTTGGAGCAAGCTGCTCTAGTGGAAGGGGTCCCTGCCCATGGCAGGGGTTGGAGCTGGATGAGCTTTAAGCTCCCTTCCAACCCAGACGAGTCTGGGATTCTATTTAAAGGCATTAACAAATACCACTGCACTCATCAAGAGGAGATGTCAATACTATTGACACGCTGTGCCTGAGACAACATTACTCTGGAGGACAGGGTGATAGGATTCTCCTCCTCTTCATAACTTTTGTTGTACAGATGAGATGTGTTGGGTTTGGGTCAGCTTGCCTACAAGTCACAGAGCAATTGAGTAGCTTAACTAATCAAATAGAGCCTCCGAATCCCAAGTCTCTGCTCCCTGCTCTGGGTTGCTTGGCTAAGAGAACAGGTCAGTGACACAGCTTGTGTCCAGAAGCCTTGGGGGAGACAGGGTTATTCGTGGGTACTGATAGATCCATGTTCTATAACCGTAATATTAGCTTCAATACACGGCAAGCATCCTTGCGTGTGCTATTCCGCATGTTCTGCCTCCACATCGCTGTCGTCTGTGAGAGGGAAATCACGCAGGGTTTTCTGGGCTGTGTAGCTTTTGGTTTGCATGGGGCACTCCTGGCTTAAGATTGCCTGGGTAAAGGAGAAGAGAAATCATGGTTCAGTAACACTGGGGATTAATCTAAGTAGTTAACAAGAATTAAATGTACTTAAACTCACAATCTTCTCCTCTTTCGCGGGGGGGTTACGCAGGTACCAGCACAGAGGAGCGTAGGCAATGTTGATGACACCAATGATGACCATCAGCCAAGGGAAGCCGATAGCACGTGCGATCGCACCGCCTGTGGATGGGCCTGCAAGTTTATAACCAAAAAGGACTTAGGATGACAGAGAGCAAAAGGTGCTTGTCCAGTTCAGAGGGTTTCTGTGGGTCTACGGTGACTGGGTTGTGGATTCTGTGCTGGTTGCTTGCAGTGAACGCTGGGTGGAGGAAAGGGAGGAGATACACACTGAGTCAGCTGGGTGGAGGAAAGGGAGGAGATACACACTGAGTAAGCATCTCATCCTGTGAGGAAGAGTTCCTCCGTACCAATCGCAAAGCCCATGCAGAAGGCGACATCAGCTATGGCATAGACGTTGCCGTAGATGGAGGTGTGGCGAAGGTCCACGAGGTAGCCCATGATGGGCATCATTGAGGAGTCCACCATGCCTGCCCAAAGCAAGAAGGACCTGATCAGCCCTCGCCCCCTCCGAGTGGTGAGAGCTGTGTTTGAGCCGTGTCACACAGCCTGCCCACAGCAGCTTACCTATGGCAAAGCCAAGCCCGCTGTTTGGGGCAATCAGCCCGTAAATTGTCTTGGCCAGAGGTACCTTTGGGAGGAGAGAGAAAGGATGAGGGCAGGAGAGCTGTGTGAGGTGTAACACAGTGCAACCCCTGAGCATCTGCCAGGTGTGTAACCCTATGCCAGCACCATTGCCCACGCTGCCCCTGCTGACTCTTCTTGCAGAAGGGTCTCAGAATCATCTTACTTACACAAAGGAGACTGATTCCCACCACAGCCATGCCGATCAGGGAGCACAGCCACCTGCAACGAGGTCTCAGTTAGGAGAAGGAGATGTTCTCAGTGTGCACAGCTCCGTGAGCACGATTCGTGCTGAAAGCACAGGCTTGGGCTGAGCTGAAATCTCTGACGTCCCACTTACCGGCCTATTCTGTTAGCCAGAATCCCAAAGAGGTTGGTACCGATGAGGTAGGATACACTGGCAGGGAGGAATGCCATCCCTGAGAGAGACAAAGGATAATCCAGAGTGTTATCCCCAAGTGAATACAGGGGATGTGCAAAACCCTTCATTAACTGCCTCTCTTGTTTGGGGAATGTCGTGGGGAGACAAGGCAATCCCTATGGGAGCCAGTCCCTGCAGTGGTGCTTTCCTATGTCCTCCACTGCCATTGCTCCCTTTCCCATCACTCTGTGCCCTGTAGAAGGGTGGGGGTCCCTCTATGAAGAAAGAGGCATAAAGAATGCATTTGCTTTTGATGGTGAGGGGGGGAAACTGAGGCACGCAGAGGTGCAGTGCTTCACCCACAAACAGGAGCTAAGGGCAGGACTCTTATCCCCACTGCTTTAATAAGCTCATCCTCTCTTGTCGTGGTTTCTTCTTCTTCCCCATTTCCTCTTGTTTTCTGCTTTTCATTTACTAAAGAAAGCAGAATTAAAAAAGTGCTTAAGTAAAAAGCTGGGGGATCATGATGCAGTCAGAGCTCAATATTTGCACTGTTTGCTGATTTACCACTTGTTTGTTTTTAATATACTCTCCCTGCCACTATAAATAAACCTGATCAGCTCCATTTCACCGAGACAACTTCCTCATTGAAACACATGATTTATGTTTCATCTCCTTGCCTCCCTTTAGCAGCTACAGCACACAGTTAATCCTGCAGATTTACTCCAAGCTCTTCT